TTGAAATAAAGAAAATGTCAATGTTTAAACACTAATAGCCAATTAACAACAAGGATAATAAGTATTCAAATATTGTCATAAGATAAAAACTGTCAAATTATCAGCAAACTGATTTCTTGCTAATGACAAGTAATTTTGCTGCTGACTGAAGACAATGAATGGCCACTCATTACAGTGACCTACTTACAAAAATCAAACGCATGCTGTTTCTGTTTTCTTAAGGGAGATGCATCAACAGAGCATGGGTATGTGATGGAGATATTGATTGTGAAGATCAATCAGATGAAGATGACTGTGACAGTTTCTTGTGTGGACCACCCAAGTACCCTTGTGCTAATGATACTTCAGTCTGCCTGCAGCCAGAGAAACTCTGCAATGGACAAAGGGATTGTCCTGATGGGTCTGATGAAGGCGATCTTTGTGGTATTGCATATTTAACTGCATTTGCTTCTCTCTGGAAACTATAACCTTTTAGTTATAGTATAGTAGCATTTTTCCTTCTGTTCATCATATTTAATGTGACTTGTAGCATTCAACCATCTCTGCATTTTACAAGCTCTATAAATCCATGGAAAAAGTTATTTTAAATATGATCGGGAATTTCTGAAAATAAAACAAAAGAAATTGCTAACCTATCTCTAACTTACTTAATGGTCATAGAACTATGTTCATTTTTTAGATTTCTGGATTGTCGATGCTGTTTGCACAATTGAACTGCTTATTTATTGTCAGTGGGTTACTCAGAACAGGAAAACTTCATTATTACCTATCAATGAGATGGCATTTACTACCTCCCTAGTTTATGTTGGATATACAACATAAACTGGTTTTTAGAAAGGAAAAAAAAAAAAACAACCAATAATGAAACCAGTTGAATATTACCCAATTTGATATACTTTTCCCTAAAGTTTTTTGTCACACAACAGCTTTGTGTAGTGTGCTTTATCTACTAATAGTTAAAATGATGGATGAAAATCTACCTAGCAGGTACAGTGAATGCTGTCTGGGTGATGGGCACAATTTTAGCCCTGCCTCCATCAAATATTACAAAAGCAATTTGTGTAGTCAAAACCCTTTATAGACCCATAATATTTTGAAATTTTAAAACTGCAAAATAATGATTTCAATGAGCTTTAAAATCATTTTGACTAGCCATCTCTCTTAAGTCAGCCAGCACATATAAAATAAAATTACATTTCCTTCTCCTCACGAGGTTAGAGATTTATCAAGTAGATTGTTAAAACACATGTTTTCTAGATAATACTGAAGGTGACATCAGTAGAGTAATGAAGAGAGTTTATAGAATGATAAGAACAATAATGAGATGACTCAAG